GAATGCCTTGACGGAGCACCCAGCCCTTGCGGGGCGGATTATGTCTCTTGAGCTCCGCCACGAGCCCGTCGTGCCCTCCTTGAGCGCGCAAAGTCTGGTCCCAAAGTCCCTTCCATCGGTGAAGGACACACCCATCGAGACCTGCCATTCTATCCCATCGAAGAAATGCAATCACCATTGCTTGGATGCTCTCTGCTCTGCTATTTCTTTAATGCCCGCTCTGGAGCGTTTCTGCTTCGACCAGCCGAGTTTTGCGAAGCTGCACGCCATTGAGCCGATCTTTGGAGCAGTCCTCGCGTACTGCCGTAACTTGCGCGAAGTCGAAATCAGGTTCCGCGAAAGAAAGCCGTCGTTTGCCTCTATTAGCGCCCCAGTGAGTTTCTGTGGTTTCTTCTTGAAACGAATGTTAAACCTTGCAAACAAGCTCTGGGAACTCGCGAATTTAACGCGGGTATCCATCATGGTGAAACGACCGATGGCGATGGATAGCGCGCACAAGTACCTGACAGACATGTTCAAGATGCTGTCCAGGTGTCCTCACCTGGAGCATCTGCGCCTTGCCAGCGAGATATGGGGCCCCCCAGCGCATCTTTCGGCGCTTCTCGCCAATATCTCATGGCCGCATCTCAGGCGCTTCATCATCAAAGGCGATCTGACCTTCAGCTCTGGTCCTGCGGCTACAGCCTTCCTCTCCCGGCACCCGCAGCTCGAAACGCTGTCGCTTCATGAGCGCGTCGACCTGCCGCCGCTCCCGCACCTTCGCTGGCTCTCGGTGCCGGAATTCTTCGACGGAAACTTCGCCGTTGTCCCGGAGAATCTCCCACTGCTCGAGTACGCCGCTATGACAGACGCATACTGGCCAGCGCAGACACACATAACGGAGGTCATTAAGGTCCTCCTCGCGCTGCCCGCGCTCCGTGGCGCGACACTGGCCTTCACCACGCCGTCTGCATTACGCATGCTTTCGGTCGAAATCCCGCATCTCGCGCGCCTTGTCCTCGCGCGCTCGCCATGGACTCTCGATCGCAGGCACGTCCGAGAGACCCGCCTCGTGCGTCCATTCCTCCTTTCAACCCGCTTATGCATTGACCTCGATACATCACACCGCCAGCCCAGCGCGGAATGCATGGCGATCCTCACGTCGTTCGCGCACCTCACGCACCTCGACTCGTCGGCGGTCATCGAGGCTGACCCGGAGCACGACCCCGACGCTGTGCTCGACGCGTTCCTCCGCGCGCTCGCAGGGGCGCCGCAGCTGCAGTACGTGGGCGTCGACCTCAAGTACTCCCAGCTCTATTCGCCGGTGCACCGATGGTTTTGCCTCGCGCGCGATGAACAGGGAGGGTACGCAGGCAGGACGGAGGTCAGGAACTTGCAGAGGGTGCGGTATCACGACTGGGATGATGTGTTCCCATTGTCCTAGACTCGAACCAGTCGCTATTGGGGAGCCCGTGAAGTTGATGACTGTCGATCAACACTACGGGTAAATAGCGTAGGACGGGTTTTAGTCGGGAGTTGCCGAGATTTTTAAATAACTGCTAGCTGGCTCTACGTGAGCTTGTGAACGGCAAGAATAGGCGTAAGATAGGGAAAGATACAACGAGGTTCTGAGGCCTCGGCGTAAACACGATCGCGGATCATTTGAGATTTACGCCCGAGGTCCGTGCGTCGCGTTGATTGCTTTTCGTCTACGCGGTGTCGTCTCAGAAACTCGCTGGAAAGAAAGACTCCCCCGAGACTCAAAATTTCGACCCACCCACCATCCCTATTTATAATTTGGCGTAAACGCTTGGTATCCTTTGGTCTCATCGTGTCTTTCCCCAGACCTTGGTTTATCTTGTGTACTGGTCTTGACGGACGCCATCCAGAACGGCACTTGTTTCTAAGTGACTCCCGCTGAGCAACACGTCTGCTCGACCTCTTCTGGCTCAGCCGCGAAGCGGCCCATCAATTCCACTGACAAAGCCTTCAGATTAAATAATCTGATGTATTCTTCTCGACGCACAGTGTCGCTGTAATATTCTCAAGCACGTAAAGAACATTACACGATGACTTGCCTTATTTCGACAAAATATCGCGAAACTTGAGAAACTGACTTGCTCTTCCGCACTAATCAAACAACTGTCTTTGATTTCTACGAGATAGGTACTGGCTCGAGTCTACCTTAGTCTACCATTCTCCTCGTTGTATGCAGAGCCATGGTGATAGGTAAATTTAGCGTGTCCCTCTCTTATTCCGTGCGTTTCTCGAAACCCCGCCCAAGACCCACTTGGGCTCATTGGCCTCGCGGGGATTCAATTCATCGTAGCGACATAGCCGACCAATTGAGCCGAGAGGCAGACTTGTTGTCATGAGAACTAAGAGTCTGAGCGTTTAAATTAGAAAAGAAAGCATGCATTCCAGGGCAAGCTGTGTCCGCAATAAGATACATAAATAACGGGTTACAATAAGACGTTCCAAGGCACGTCGCAGGTACAAATGGGTCGGTACAAGATCATAACCACTGTTCCAATTATTCAATCAATTCGAATCTAGCCGTATGAACCGCAGTAACGCACCATAATTTAGTAGCCTTTGCGCTTCTCGTGGTCGTGCGAGTCGGGAATGCAGCAGCCGCAGCAGCGCCCGATGAGGAACAGGATGGGCGTGATGAAGAGGAGGAGCCACGCGAAGAGCGTGAGGTACAGCGCGTTCCCCATGATCGCGGAGCCCGCGTTCCCCTCGTCGTTCACGCGCTTCTTGATGATCTCGAAGAACGCGATGTCGAAGATGAAGACCGCGAACGCGGCGGAGCCGGCGAAGCCGCAGAAGCAGGAGCTGCAGCAGTCCGCGATGGGGGCGCCGAGGAAGGCGAGGATCGCGAACGCGAAGGAGATGAGGGCGATGCCGAAGGCGGCGATGTGCAGCACGAGAACTTTAGTGAGCGTCGAGGCGACAGCGTTGACGCTCGCGGTGAGCTGCGGGGGGAGGGTCCCGTTGATGAATTTGGAGGCCTCTGTAGAGGCATTAGTAGCCGATAACGGACGCCTGCGAGGATAGACACACCAGAAAGCGAGTACCCGATCTCCGCCTTCGAGCACTGCAGCCCGCGCCCGTCCTTCAGGTCTGTGCAGAACCCGAGCACTCCGAGGTCGACGAACGGGTTCGTCTGGTTCGCCGATACAGCGGACGCAGTGCCGTTCCCCAGATCGATGCGCAGGAAGTACACCGACTTGAAGTACGGCACGTCGAACGCGACCATGCCAAGGAGCGCCGTCGCAGCAGCGACGGACGCCACGCCGAGGATTTTGTTCCAGGAGACCATTGCAGGGATAAAAAGCTTGAACGAAGAAAGAAAAGTGGGGTGTCTGGCGAGCGCAGGGCACCCTTAATGAGTCCCGTAGGTCCCTAGACGATAGATTACTTACGAAATGCGCCTGGTCCTAAGGCAAATGAAATAAAACCCTCCTAAGATGTTCTTGCAACCGGTGCAAGGCTAACCGTCCAGAAACAAAGGGCGGGGAACGAAAAGACCAAAGTCGAGGACGGGGAAGCGAACGAAGGAGGAGACGGAGACCAGACCTTGAAGACACGGTATGCGATCAAGAGGGTCGTCATGGGGATTGATTGGCGCTGGGGAGAGCGCTGATCTCAAACAAGCACAGCCTCCCCCTACTGCCCGACGCGGTGACGCCGCATCCTTCAAAACCACGTCGTCAGGCGGAATTGTGGAGCGTCCTAGGCTCGATTCAGCCTCTATAGTATGCCTGGCGCGATTTCTGAAGATAGTCGTTCAGAATCACGTATACTATAGAGGCTGGATTTTACGAGTACAGCCGAGTACGAACTGCCTCGGAGTTTGAAATTAGTGATGGGCTCTGATGGCTCGATCTTGGACGGTGGTTTAAAAAGGGTTTCTTCGTGCAATGTTCATGGTGTCCGAAATTCAACTTTGATGCATTTTACTTGAGGCATTTCCGACGAGATATGAGTGTGTCCCGAGTATCTCTTTGCAGGTCCCTTGGGCGTGCGTGTGATGCGGTGATGGCCTTGGTGCTCACGGGGTTTGTTCGGATCTTTATTTTCAAACTCCGAGGCACTTCGTACTGCGCCCTACTCGTAAATCCAAGCCTAGAGCGTCCTAGGCATCGAAAGCCTTCCTTTCTTCGAATAGTAAGTACTGTATCATTCACACAAGACATCACTTGGACTCACAACCATCGTCTCCAAATCCTCTTCGCCGTTTTCTCTCTACGTTTGTGTTCGAGCGCTGGGACCACAGGGGCGCCCAGTCTTCAACCCTCGTAGCGTTGATTTTCCAGCGACCGACGATCCCAGAGACCAAATCATGATTGAACAGTTCAACGGGGCCATATTTACCGCGGTTGCCCCCGCAACTCGTCCTGCCAACTAAACGTTCTGGGGCAATTCTCGACTCTTTCTCATCCTTCAATCAATCACAGGTGCGTCTTATGCGGGAACTGAATCACGTTGGGACGTGTGCGTGTATGTATTCTCCAGGACACTTGCACATCTTGACTAACACCTGAGGTGAGACTTGAAGGAAATCCTCATCTGTCAAGGTTCGCATCTCACCTAGTATCGGCTCGATGGCGGACGGCCCGCACCTGCCCCGCATAAAGGGGACCATTTGGCTGGATATGCCAGAGACACCCGTTCGACTCGGGTTCGAGCCATTCCTCCTGGTGCTTTTTTATTAACCCCTCGTCTCATCCTAGGTGTGGTTACACACTTCTCTGGAATGCAGCATCAGACATCGGGGCCCGTGGTCTAGGTTAAGCAGATCGATATTCTCGCGCCCCGCCGATACATTGCTCAGATGCTTTCGAACCCCGCACGGCTCTACAAACATGGGAGGGAGGAGCGACTTCGCTTGTAGCATCTATCTACCGGAGACTAGCTGAGCATGGTAGCACCCCCTCATCAAAGTGAGCCTGGTCTATCTATATCACCTTCGAAGGACATCCTCATTTGTTAAGGTTCGCAGTTCACCTAGTATCGGCTCGATGGCGGACGGACCGCACCTGCCCCGCATAAAAGGAAAGAATTTGGTGGATATGCCAGGAGACACCTGTTCGACTCGGGTTCGAGCCATTCTCTTGCCTTTTTACATTATTTATCGACCCCATCTCATCCATGCAGGTATCCTTCTTCGGATTCGTCAGATTCGAACATCAGACGTCAGCCATCTGAGGCCATGGTCTAAGTTAAGCAGATCGATATCCTCGTGCTCCGTGATAAATTAACTGCTCGTACGGTTTCGAACCTCGCACGGCTCTACAAACATGCGAGGCACGGCTTCCCTTGTAGCGTCTGTCTACCGGAGACTACCTGAGCTTGGTAGCACCCCCTCATCAAAGTGAGCCTGGTCTGTCTATATCTCACCTTCGAAGGACATCCTCATTTGCTAAGGTTCGCATCTCACCTAGTATCGGCCCGATGGCGGACGGCCCGCACCTGCCCCGCCTAACCAAAAGCAGTTCCGCTGGTATGCCGGAGACACCCGTTCGACTCGGGTTCGAGCCATTCAAGATCTTTAAATCCTCCCTTTTTAATCGATGCCCATTCCTTCATTTTTATTGACCCATCAGTATCCTCGCCCCCGTCGATAGATTGCTGATGCTCGTATACTCAGGTTTAGAGCCTCGCACGGGTGCATCTATTCGAGGCGCAAGCCAGAGTTCCATCGGGAGATGCCTGTTCGTAAGGTGCGGCCCAAATCGCGGTTGCTCGGGCTTTCGTGGCAATACTTTATCTTCCAAGCGGACGTGTTTGATGTCCTCAGAGGTGTGGACCGTCTTGGTGGTCTTCGACGTCTTCCGCACTACACGGGCCCCCGGCATACTGACGCGCCGACTCCTGCCCGGGCACGAGGCGCACCTTCCCCACGTCCGGATTGTACCGCGTCCACACGGCGAGGTACTCCGCACACGCCACCGCGCGCGGGGGCACCGCCAGCACGCGTGTCTCCCGCGGTGCGCGCAGCGGACGGTACACGCGCATCAGCAAGTCGTCGTCGTCGTCGTCGGCATCGTGCTCATATTCGTATTCGTACTCGGAGTCACGGCGTTGTGGAGGCCGGGGCGGCGGGAGCGCGTGCAGGTGCGGCCTGTGCAGGCGCAGGAGGGGTTCGACGCCGAGGGCGAAGAGGAAGACCTGTAAGGCGCTGCGTCAGTGATAAACCCGTGGGCGGACGGGGGGTGCGTACGTCGGAGGGCTGCATCAGTAAAACTACACATTTGTCTTTGGCGTCTTTGGCGTCTTGGCCAAGACGTCAAAGACGTGTAAGACGTAAATTTCCAAAGACGCACGTCTTTGGCTAAGCAGATTCAAAATCTTAGCCAAGATGCACGTCTTGGGGAAGACCTCTAAGATGGGAAATGTCTTGCCCAAGATACTGTAAAAGACATCTTGAAACAATGAAAGACAGCTCTAAGACGACAGAAAGATGAGAGAATGGGCGAAAGAGCATTGATATTGGGGGCTACAGAAGGTTAAATATACAGGAACCGATCCCCGCCTTCGCACCCGATATACGGACGCTCGTGAGGAAGATGTCGGTACGGCAATTGAAGTTTACGAGTGGCCACTCCATGTACGGGTTGCTTTCGTGGAGAGTGAGAGTGCTTGCAGCGGGGAGTGCGTGCGCGGATCGCGAGCACGAGCCAGGGATCAGAAGACTATAAGTGGTAAGTAATGAGTAAGGGCTATAGCGATGCTCGTACCTCTCACACCGAACAGAATGCGATGCCTCAAACGCCATGAACTTAAGATAAAAGATCAGCAGCCGAATGGTGTGGAGGCAAGTACATATCTACCGGAAGCAAGCGAGGGAAGCTTGAGGAGTGAAAGAAGGTGTGGCCCAAGCGGCGGCTAGTACGGGCAGGCACGGTCGGGAACACGGCAGAAAGCACGTCAGCGCGAGGCAGAGCGGGAAGGCCCCTTAAGCAGCGGAAGATGCGAGACTGTGCTAGTGAGGCCATAGGCGCGAGAGAGGCAACAGACGACGGCTGAGGGAGAGGAGCGGGCCAGGGGAACAAGAGAGCTTGAGGCTGGAAGCGGGAGGCTTGAGGCTTGGAGGCTTGGAGGCTTGAGGCTTGATGCTGAGGCTTGAGACGTTCCTCGAGGGTTTGAAGAGGAGAGCTTGATGAGCTTTTCGAGGACGGTGGGCAGGGGGAAAGTGGTGGGGGAAGAGGAAGAGCGACGACCAACCATTTGATGGCGTCGAATCACGCCACCCAAATCACGCCATCCGGAATTTCCTTGATCCGAGCGGAGTTTGAATGACTTGTCAACTCTCGCCGCCACAGCCATCCTAAGGACCGCACCTATTCCTCCTTGCTATACTGCCAGTAAAGTGTGGTTAAAGGTAAACAATTCGGTATGAACAAGATCACATTTATACACTGATCCGAAGCTCTTCCCCCGCCCTTTTTCTTCACCTCAATTCGGACCTATTACTAGTCCTTCCCACCATTTTTAGGCCGGAAACCTTGTGGAAACATGTATGAGATGTGGGTGCTACTCACAGGAATTTTATCCGCCCAGAGAATATCTGCACACCATTGTGAGCAAGATGGCGGTCAAAGACTAAGATACGATTCCTAAGACAAAGATATTCGTAAGATACGATCCAAAGACAAAGATGCAATTCTCAAAGACAAAGATCCCCAAAGAGCTGTCTCAAAGACAAAGATATCAAAGACAACGTGTTGTTTTACTGATGTGTGAGAAGCGGAATAGGAGTTTGGCGGTCTGGCATGCCGGCAGGCAGTGCGCGAGCGCGCGCAGGACCTCGTCGTCCCACTGCGCGAGGCGGAGCTCGATCGCGCAGGGGCACGCGGTGAGCGTTATCGATGAGCGCGAGTGCGTCATGCGGCGCCGCAAGGAGGGTAGTGATTGCCAGTGTGGTGAGGCTGGGCGCGCCGTCGAGGAGGCTGATGTCGAGGAAGGCATGCCCGGTGAATGATTCAGCACGGGCAGCGCCGCGGCGGCATGCGGCGTGCCCCCGCGCGCCCCGAGGCCGCTGACGTTCAGATGGCGAGGATTCGGCGTGCGCTGCACGGATTGGGTTATCCCTGCTACAAAACGGACTCTGGGATGCGCGCGTCGCATTCGGTCTTCACGGCGCGCAAGTGGGGAAGCAGAGGGAAGAGGGTCTCGACAGGGTAGCTGTTGAAAATGGAGAGGCGTGTCACACTGCTCCTGATAGGCGTGGTGGTTGGGTCTAAAAGAGACGGAAAGAAGAGTGGAAAGTGCGGCGGAGCGTCGTGGATGTAGCACCCGCCAAGCTCAAGTGTGTAAGGTACGGCGGACTGAGGAGGACGTGGTAGAACGTGACTGGCAGAACGCCGTTGGCCAACGACAGACTGCGGAGGTTGTAAAATAGTGAGGCGCGGTCCAGACCGGCGGAGCACGGATTAGCGTTCCCTTCATTCTCTGAACCCGAGTTAAATGGCCGCACAACTGGCCCTAAGGTCCCACCAGCGTCAGCGCGCGCGCAGAAAACAAATTTCATACAGTGACGTGCATAGCTCGGAATCGCTGAGCTTCGAATCAGATTCATGGCCGGCGCGGTGGGGATATGGCTGCGGTGCGCGTTTTGTTCCGCCAGAATTCCAGATGGTGTTCCGTGCGCTCTGAGGTATTCCAAACGACGGTGCGCAGGAGCACCTCCACACCTAAATTGTGAAAGGCGCGCGAAGTGAGGACAACGGCCTTGAGGGCTTTCGCATCGACGATGTATGAGAAGATTCGGAGCCAGAGCTCGCGGTTAAGAGCTTGATTCATCCTTCAAGAGTGGGATTGTAGTGGGAGAAGAACGGCGCGGGAGTGGCAATTTGATCGGATCGCATGATGCATTTCAAATCATTGCCATTCGGTGTTGTGGTAACCGCACTGTAGCCGTAATTGAACCAGATATAGCGCGGGAATGGTCGAGACTCGAGATACGGCGGGAAGAAAACACGAACGATTGAAACACTTATGATCGACAAAGTCAAGGTTGGTAGTATCTTCATGAAAGTTTATTCGGGAAGCTTCGGTGCGAAAGTCCCCGCCTCATCCACTAGCACCCACCATGGGGTCATCCGTGCGGATATATGAGATCGACAAGACATGAAAACCTTGGGCCTTCATACATATGACCGCCTGGGACTATATCAAACGGCATCGACCGAGGAAGACGCACTGCCAGCTGGATTGTGCCGCGAAATCGGTGTCACTGTTGGCGATAGGGATGCCAACCACGGCGATCAACAGATCGGTGGCCATTTTTGGCCATATGTCATTGTCAAACCACCACAGCAGAGGTTCGCGTCTGCCAGACACAGCTCGACCAGCATCACAGCCGGCGAACTCAGCCGCTGCGCCCGCCTGCTCCTTTCAAATGAAGCACTTCCGCGATCGATTCAGTCGCGTATATCTACCCGGCAGCCATCCGCCGTCGTAGCATCCTCACCTCAGCCACCATGCTTACAAAAAGAGGGCTGCATTGGAGATTATCAACAACTTTCTTCAACTATCTTTTATGTTGAGTAAGCCAATGGTGATAATGACTGGCACCCTCAGGAGATTCTTGGGCCGCATACTTGCATTGATGTCGCCTCGGGACAATGAACAGTGACGGCTATCGGAATTTGGGGTTTCCAGGTATGTCGTGCGCTGTATTCATTCTCCCCGGTCGAGTTATGATGCTAACCGCGCGGCGCAGCGCGATGAGCCTCCCATCCACTGTGAATACAAACTAGTCCTGGAGGTCAGTTTCCGATGGCGCCATACAGGAACAGGTGTGGTGGCCCTTTCGCTTCATCATCGGTCAAATGATCGATTACACGAATCGCTCTCCGCAAGCCTGCCCTCTGTCATCGCGTTCGTCGACGCTGTCCTCTGCATCTCGATGAGAAAACCTAATTCGGCCCACCTCACTTGTGCGCACCATCTCCACCTCCTTTTACCTTTCAACTTGGCAATTGGCTCCCAGGTCAACCTCATCATCAGCAGACCTATATCCACTCCGTGATGGTGACGCTCCTCGCGCGTAAGAGGGTCTTCATTGCGCGCGACTTGTATCACTCAGACGAGGACATCGAGCC